TAAAACTGCAGTTTTAACAGTGTCATAATTATTGCTATCCGAGACAGAGAGAGCGGCTACAACCTCGGAGGCTTTACCTGTGAATCTGCACTGCAGCAGAAGAGGCCACACATCCCGCGGCCAATTAAGCGCCGTTGCGATGCGTTCAAACGCAGAGAAGTAGCAGTCAACCTCAGATTCCCTGAAAACAGGCATCAACGCCATGCAGTTACTGATATTAAAAGAGTCTTGCGGTGGGGAACTCACCGGAGATGTCTCTTTCTCAGCCTTCACAGCCTCGTGTTCAAGTTCAAGTTTGCGGAGCCGCAATTTTGTATCAGCTTCCAGTTCCAGCTTTCTCATCTCAAACTCCAGCTGTCTGTGCTGGGCTCTGTCCTCAGCGTCCAAACGGAGTTGCTCAATCCTCAGCCTGAATTCGGCTGGAGTCACGTCCTCATCAGAGTCAGCCGGGTCGGCGTCTCCAGCAGCTGTAACCAGTCTGTCTCTGTCATCAGGTGCTGCAGGGCTGACAGGGGGCGGGGTTGCCAGGGGAGGTTCAGCATTTACACGGGCCTCCGCAGGAGAGGCAGCCTGTTGCCGAGTAAGCAGGCCCAAGTCCTCCAAGCCACTGATTACCACCTCCTGCAGCTCCACCTTTAACATTGAGCTGTCCACCTGAAATCCAAAGTGATCCGCCACGTCCAGCAGACCCCGCTTGCGACAGGCACCAATCAGTCCACGGGATGGGGCCTCCACAAACTGCGCTAAATCAAAAGTAGCCATAACTGGTAAAACACTGATACACACAAATGATCACGCATCCGACCTCAGTTTAAGGGTACTTAATGATCCCGGACGAGCCCCCATATGTTACAACCAGGTGTCTAGGGGGCCTGGGGTAACATGGAGGACGCGTGACACAAAGGAAAATTAACAAAGGTTTTATTTACTTTCTCTTAATTCAGAAAAGATGACTATTATTCTTTTAACCACCACGGATCTAAATCCACTTTTACCAAAACAGGTTCAAACAGTAAGAGCACAATATCGAAGTTCTAATTGGGAGACAACAGACCAGAGGAAAGGCAGCTCTGCACTATTGTCCCCCTTGGTGAGGAGCTCCAGCTGGTCCTTTAAACAATTTGCGGCTGATGAAAACCCAGCTCAGCTGGTGCAGGGAGGAGCAAGGGTGAGCCAACATAGTCTGCAGGCAGGCTCCTCAGATGCAACATAAAATGCACAGAAAAATGAAATCACAACACAAAAAGGCTCCAGCCGTAACAGTATGGAATAAGGGGTGTGGCTCATCAATCGGTTAAAACTTATTTAGAAAAAATGAAACAGTTTGTTCAGATAAAGGACCATAAATCAAAACTACTTGAAATTAATTGTGGAGTGCCACAAGGGTCGGTCCTCGGGAAAAAAACTGTTCATTTTGTTCATTAACGACTTGGTAAATGTATCTAAGACACTCGGTACCATTCTATTTGCAGATGATACAACACTGTTTTACTCAGGATCAAATATTGAGGAGGTGGCTAAAGTGATAAATGATGAACTGATTAAAATTAAAAACTGGTTTGATATAAATAGATTGACACTGAATCTTAATAAAACAAATGTTTTACTGTTTAATGATGAAAAGAACAGTGATGTGTCATTGGAAATAGATGGGATTGAAATTCAAAGAGTAAAAGAAACTAAATTTCTTGGAGTTCTTGTTGATGAAGACTTGACATGGAAATCCCATATTAGTTACATAAAAGGTAAAATTGCCAAATCCTTAGGAGTATTACATAGTCAAGTTTTTACTGACTAAATCTGGTTTGTTGGCATTGTACAATTAACTGATTGTTCCATACTTGACTTATTGTGTAGAAATCTGGGGAGCAACATCCAAAAACTATACACAACCCTTATTTATTTTACAGAAAAGAGCTCTGAGAATCATCAATTATAGTGGCTGTAGAGATCCATCGAACCCGTTGTTTAATAAATATAGATTACTAAAATTTCATGATTTAAAAGACTGGAAAATTTTACAAACCATGTATTAGGGCCAATGTAGGTACTCTGCCAACAAACATTCAGGGGTTATTTGAAAAGAGAACTAGTAATTACATGCTGAAAGAAACTGATGTGTTTACAAAACCTAGATTTAGAACTAAAATTAAGGAATGGAATATATCTGTAAATGGTGTTAAATTATGGAATAACCATAAAAGGGAAATTAAAAGAGAACTCTGTCATTTAATATATTCAAAAAATGTACCAAATTGAGTGTACTAAATAATTATGAAAATGTAAATTAAACCAATGATCATGATCACACTGGAATTTAGAACAGGAAAAAGTTTAAAATGAATCTGTATGTGTCTGACAAATGGTAATTATATATAAATTGATTATTTCTACTGGAAAAGGGGGCAGAAATTATAAGATTATTTCTTTATCCTGCTCCTTTTCATTAAAAGTTGATTTTTGTTATGCATTTTTTATTGTTTATATGTTTTATTTGTTTTTATTTTGAATGAAATAAACGGAAAAAAAAAGTATTTGGGAAAAAGGACACTAGGGCACCTATACACACATCCTAAGTACCTCTAGTACTACCTGTTACCAAAGTATGAACTACTTTTACTGTGTACTTTTTCAGTAATTGTACTTCAAAGTATGTCCAAAAAGCTAACGTGCCGTGTTTGAGATGGGATAAAATGAGATTTGGGAAAAAGGACACTAGGCCATCTACATATGGAGTTGGAAGAAGTGAAACTTATTCAGCCCTCTCCAATATTTCAAGATGGTTTTATCTAAATATTATAATGCACAAAAACAACTACAGTCATGGCTAAAAGTTTTGAGAATGACACAAGTATTAGTTTTTACAAGTTTTTTTTTAATAAACTCCTTTTAGATCGTTGTCTCAGTTGTTTCTGTGATGTACTGAAATATAACATTCTGGAGTTTATGCTAATTATTATAAAAAATCCAAAACTTTTCCAGTTTCCAATACTTATGCAATTTTAAAAACCTTTGGCCACGACTGTATTATTTGTTCTTCTATATTGCAATGTATCAACCAAACTATCACAGAGTAACAGTTAAAGCAATGAAGAACCAATTACCTCACAATCTATCTACAAACACACACCCAACAAGATAAAAGTCATCATGCACAATAAACATTCTTATTAGCGGCGTTGGAGCCACGCACTAACTCCATCTCCCATAGTAGTCTTTATACTTATTTAAAAAAAACAAATACATTTCTTAAACAAACTCATGTGTGGCTATTGCTTCAGGTCTTGACTGAGGTTACTCCACACCTTCACACCACAGAGTGGGGTGCACATTCTCTACATGGTTTTTCGAACAGTCCTGGTTGAGAATTTGATGCTTCCCTTGTAGTTACAATCCCCCTCTCAGTTAATTCAATTCAAAAATACTTTATTAATCCCAGAGGGAATTTGATCCCATAAGTAAAAAGTAAGATAACATTTCTATATAAATTACTTGGTAATTGTTTGTTTCTTTCTTTGTATAAGCTGGTCTGTTTGAAGTTCAACCAGATGTGGGAGTTTTAGCAGGCGTTTATAAATTACTCTTTAATGTGATTCTGGTAACCTGCCGTATTCTGATGGCTCTTTTCTGAAGTGAGTGTGCAGGTTATGAAGAGCTGTGTTTTCCCAAACTTCAACGCAACAGTTCGAATATGGCCAAAAAGTGACCAATATACGAAATATAATGCTTGATTATTCATTACAGATTTTGCTTAACTAAGGATTGAAATACTCCAAAATACTTTAGGTTGAATACAGTATGTTGAAAGTGAGGTTTCTGGCAGATCTTGTGGTCTATCACCCATAAACTAGATTTAATTCAATCTTGAAGTACTTAAACCATCTATCATGACTTTACAATTGTATTTCCCAAATATGATTCCCACACAGTATACCAATTTTTTTTAATCAAACCAGGTTATTTGTTAAATTGAGTAGACATCACTCAGAAGGTCCTGTAAAGTCTCCCCTTCAAACAATATGCTACTATCTCCTATGAAACCATACTGGCTGTTAGATAGAAGTTTGCATTTATGAATGAATTGTCCAGAATTTAATCAAATAACATTTATCGTTTTTGAAAAACTTTTTCTTTGTATCTAAAAAAAAAGTGACTTTTTTTTTTACTTCGTTTGAATTACAATAAAAGGTTAAAGGAACAATAAAAGTAAAAATAGTACCACCTGGTACAATACTATAGTATTATGTAGTTGGAATGAGTCTCCAGATGTCATAGTGTCCTTTTTTCCAAATCTCATTTTATCCTATCTCAAACACGGCACGTTAGCTTTTTGTACGTACTTCGTAGTACAATTACTGAAAAAGTACACAGTAAAAGCAGTCAATACTTTGGTACCAGGTAGTACTCGAGGCACTCAGTCTGTATGTATAGATGGCCTAGTGTCCTTTTTTCCAAAAAGCCATTTGATCATATCTCAGGCTCGGCACTTTTGGCGTTTTGGACATACTTTGAAGTACAAATACTGAAAAAGTACACAGTAAAAGTAGTTCATACTTTGGTACCAGGTAGTACTCGAGGTACTTAGTATGTATGTATAGGATGCTTAGTGTCCTTTTTTAAAAACACAATTCTATCCTTTATCAAATAGGCACATTTAGCAGCTCTGTGCCATCCTGATGCCATTCTGTCGCTCATCTCAACTCTCTCCAGTAGCGAGACGGGTGTTACCGTAAACCGTATAAACGCGCACTTCAATTGTAGGTGCGGCTCACTTGACCACTGACAAACGAACGACGGCTCACTTGACCGCTGTAAATTACCGGATGTGTAAATGTGTTCAATTGATACCGCAACTGAGAAGCTAGCTGCCCTGTGTATGAATCAAACTTTAAGCTAGGCTACATGACCGATGCACTAGGGTTTTGTGGAGCAAGTATCGATTATGAAAACTTACTTTAAAAATTAAACTGCACGTTTTAACACAAAAAACTACCCCTTACCTTCAACGACGTATAATCAGCACCTTAGCGAGTACATTTTGTAGCAAAGAAATCATAGAAACACAGCGGATAACGCTCGGAGTTCGTCTGCTATGGCGTTTCCACGGTAACGAGCCATTGCTGTGGTCACCAGAGAGGTTACGGCAGCCGATGAGGGACATTTCAATGAAGAGAAATGTTCACTCAAACCTAACGTTTCTTACTTTTCTAGATAAAGGAAAGTCTTCAACTCAGTCATAAAAGTAAATCTTTATTGTTTAAACCACTTGTGTCTACGAAAAATTAAAGTATCAAACTCATACAGAAATATATTAGATTTTTTCTATTACATAAACAACAAAGTTAAAAAAATACTAGGACTGTTTGTTACTGTACAACATTTGTTGCCATGTATTTGCATGTGCAGCTTTGATACATTTATTAAAATAACAAAGCAAATCATGAAACATTATGGAACAAACTTGAATAATTAAACGTTTAAATAATTACAACATTGGGTACTTTTTTCTACTTTTACTTGGCCTAAAATATCTGGCATGTTCCACTCGGAAATAGTATAAAAACATTTTTAATTACTTTATTATACAGTCATTTTCATGTTTACACACGATTTTTGTTCATACTTTTCCATTCGTAACTTTCAGCAAAAAGAAATGAGTTCCTATGTGCATTTATACATAGACAACAAATGTATCTAGATTACTGGGGAAAACATCTAGAGTTGCTAATAACTGAACATGCATTTGTTGTGACTTTGGGGGAAAGTGGATCACCCAGAAGTTTGACAATTGCTCATGTGGAATTGGTGGTTCTAGGGGTGAGGCCACAGGGGCATTGGCCCTTGCTGAAATCTGATTGGCCCCCTGAAGTGCCCCTTATCTGACACAAATCAGTCCTTTCTGCAATGACCAGATTATGTCAGATTATATAGGTTCAAACGTTTGTGGCACTAATGAGCCAAATTGGATATTCTAGCATAAAATCTTGTGTAAGTATGTTGGACTAATACTTGGCACCTCTATAAATATTGTGTTCTCTATGATGCCATACTCATAAATATCCACATTCATCAGGGGGCAGGACTTGAACTCCAAAAGAAAACAAATTGGAATTCAAAAATAAATAAAAATCCCAGTACTAAAAGTACTGATCTTGTTGTTTTCTTGGAGCCTCCTCTAAACTTTTTCTCTGAGTAAGAAGTTTGATTTTCCATCTCTAAACCCCAAAAAAGCCAGTAGAATCCAAGGAGTCTTCCTTCATCTCTTCTTTTTCACCCTCATCCTCCCCTTCTACGTCATCTTCATCCTCCAGGCTGGAGCTGACAGAGCCACCATGATGTTTGGTTCTCTGTGCATCCAGACTGTCCTCCATCAAGGAGGCTGCAGGCACCTGTTCCTTGGTTTTATAGCTTCTCTTCCACTTCATACGACGGTTCTGGAACCAGATCTTCACCTAAACACAACAAGAAAAATTTTAAACACATGTTCTCTTTCTGGTAACGTTTTCTGACAAATGTGCCAAAAAAAGAAAGAAAAACACATATAACTGTATAGCACAAACACTAAAAAGATCAAGTTGGCAGATGAAATCATCATGCCATCTTGCTTGATTTAGACCCTAACCTGAGTTTCTGTCAGCATGAGAGAGGTGGCCACCTCAAAGCGTTTTGGCCTTGACAGATACTTGTTGAGCTTGAACTGGTTTTCCAGTTCCAGCAGTTGCTGACTAGTGAAAGCTGTCCTTGGTCTCCGGCACTTCCCCAGCAGAGCTGTCTGACCTAATGATGAGACAAAAATCATATATTATAATTAAAAAAAATCTAAATACACCATTTAACCAAAAACAAGTGCAATGAGAAGACAGCATATGACAAAAACACTTGAAAAAAGCCTGATTGTTTGGAAAAATGTGTCCCGTTAGAGGAGGTAATAAACTATGGAGCTCCATTACCTTAATGAAAACCATGTGATTATAAACAAGTTGTAATTTTTTATATTTTATTTGTATTTATGTAAGAAGTAACTGCAAATCAAAGTCATGGTCCTATAACCTACAAGGTTTTTGAATATTAAAAACATCTTAACTTTAATATTATTAGTATTGTTGTTGTTGTTGTTGTTGTTGTTGTTATTATCATCATCATATTTTTATTATTATTATCATCATAATCATCATTATTATTATTATCATAATATTTATTTATTTATATATTATTATTATTATTATTATTATTATTATTATTATTATTATTATTATTATTATTATTATTATTATTATTATTATTAAAGTGTTTTATTTGTGAAGTACTCACTGCCAAGTTCTCCGACTCTGGGCATCACCATCCCTGCTCTGATCCATGGCTCCAGGGGGATTGTTGTGGCCGTGGGTCCCCCATTCATCTCCTCTGGATAAGGCTGGAACAGCTGCGTGAAGCCGGGATACATGAAGGCGGGATGCTGACCTCCGAGGGTCACCAGCGGATGCAAGGACCCCGCCGGGTGCATTCTGAAAAGACCCTGGTGCAGCGCTGTGAGCCCCGACTGCGGCAGGGTGAGGAGATGGGATTCAGACAGGAACCCTGGTCGGACTGGAGAGGAGTTTGGAGAAGAGGAAGGAGACTTATCAGCAGCTTTGCAGTAAAACAACCCCGGAGAGCCTCTGCCCCTGTCCGTCTTCTTCTCCGAGTCATGCGCCAGGAGCGCGTCAATCCGAAAGTTTTGGGACTTCTCCACTGACGCTGTCATTTTGCTTCCCTTTTATTTTGAATTCTAACCTTAAACAATAGAAATGTACTTCTTCAACTCCAACTCGTAAATAATGGGACTCAGGCTTCCAAATGTGAACGGAATCTCCTCTTTTGGCCAATTTCAATTCAACCTTGTGCGTAAAAGACACCCTGCCCACCCAGCAGCGAATGAAAACCTACTAACACAATAGGACCATAAAAACTGCTCTGCTATGATTGGCCAGAGCCCCACACAGGCTCAGGACACTCCAACTCTCTTTTATATCTGATCATCTCCAAACAAAATGCAGACTTTTCACTTTACTCTTGAAATGCTTTAATAATTTATAAAATGACCAAACGTATTGCCTTTTATTGCATTTATTGGTAAAGAAAATAAATGTTCAATCATTTAGTTTTGGTTCTTTTATTTTCGTTTGGTCACTTTTTTCTTTACACTGGTGTCCATAATCTCATAATTCAGATTAAGTCAGTTTAATTTTCTCACAAACACATCAGGAACCCACGTGTTATATTGCACTTTCAGCTTGTGATGCAGGCAAATACTCTTGAAATATATATTGCTGTAATTGCCTGACTCTTGATGACAACATTAATCATTTCAAATCTAATTCCTCGTTAAACTTTATTGCTTACTAAAGCTGACGGATACACAGCAGCTCTTATCAGCGGCGGCTGCTGATTACCGGTCATCACCACACCACAGAGCAGATAAAAGAGCAGTAATTGGACTCAAAACAAACTTATTTTCTCGCGTTGGAGACCAGAAGAGTCTGAGCAGGTGGCCAAAACCCACCGGGTGCTTCTTCTGTCCCTTTAAAATCAAAAACACTTAAAAGTAAAGTAAGGAGCGTGAAGTTTTTGCATCAAACTACACATTGTCCCTTAAAAGTCTTGATTTAATGTTTTTTATAGTCATTAAATTTCACTTAATGGCCACAGGCTGTGTAAACATACACCTTCTGCTGTCATCTGTGGTGATTTCCTGCTGGATTTTTACAGAACTGATAGGAGGAGGTCGTATACCTGGGAAAACAAACCTTCTCATGTCAAAGACAAACACGGCAACACCTGCTCAGCTGCCCCCATAAACTAAACAACCAATGTGCTTAAAGTTGAACTTGTGTGTGCCGGCATGTGGAGCTGTAGCTGCAGCCTGCAGTTGGAAGATTTAAATTAAATCCAGTTTGATTTTGACGGAAGATTTCTCTGAGTTGCAGCAGGGAGATGCTTGTAGCAGATAACGCAAGATTTAATTTGCACATTTACTGATAAATTGTCTGAAATTAAGGCCTAGTCCACACGTAGCCGTTTTTTTTAAAAAATGGATATCCGCCCCTCCAAAAACTTGCATCCACACCACCTCGTTTTAAAAAAAAAACTGTCCACACGTACCCGGATAAATACGTTGTTAAGGACATGCCAGACCTGTAGGTGGCAGTACTTCCCCCGTTCTTAACCTCGTCCTTCGTCTGTGGTCTTCTGCAAGGAGCAGTAATTCCGCTTGCAACAACAAACAAGCAAAAAGCGCTTGGACAATTGATAAAGCGAGCGCAGCTCTGAGGGCATCCATGCTGTCGGCTAGTGTAAACACAGGTCGCACACGTGATGTCAGCATTTTTGTCGCGGAAAGTGACGTTGCGGACCTTAAAACTCCGGTTTTGTCCGTCCACACGCAGACACCCAAAACGGAGAAAACGCAGACCTTCACTTTGGCCGGAGTTTTTAAAAAGATCCGTTTTCGTGTGAAAAAACTCCGTTTTTGTGTGGATGACAGGCCAAAACGTAGAAAAATATCTACATTTTGGCAGATCCACGGCTACGTGTGGACAGGGCCTTAAACTTGCAGGATAAAGTGTAGGTAAAAACCGTCGTATAAACAGAAACAAACTGTGATCACAGTCTGTGCACATGACATTTAAAATGAGATTGCATCCATGATTGGAGCTATTGTTATATAATGCATTGTTTCAGTGTTTTGGTATTAGCAGGTGAGGCAGCTAGCTAAGAAATTGTCTTTTTGTTATGAATTAAAACAAATAAATAAATAATTCATTTATGTGATAAAGACAATTACGTTAAAGCTGAGAACATTTAAGCTGTTGTTTCTGAAGCTAAAATGCATTCAACTTTGAAGTGTATTTAGTTGTTTGGATTTTATTTTATTTCCTCCTGTTATAAAAAGACATTCCTTCGCTCATCTTTGCCCTTGAACTGTTCACGTCTTTCACACACAAACAAAGGCGGGGTTAACCCAAGTGGGCGACGCTGTCAAAAGTCTGCAGTTCACTGGCGAAAAGGCCTGGTCTGTTCTTCACAAGTAAAAGCACAAAGGCAAAATCTTACAGCATTTTAATGATTTAGAGTGAAAAGTATGTTTTATAGAAAATAATTATGTAGTTTTTTTTATTGTTTTTTTGAATGCTTTATAATTTCGACCAGAAACGGAGACAGAGGTGAAAGAGAAAGGACAAAGGAAAAGAAAGGAAAGGAAAGAAGAAAAATAATAATTATATTCATTTCAATCACAGTTAAAGTAAGAAAAAGAAAATTTTCTATTTTGGTTTCTTTGTTTTTCATTGTTGACTGATCCCAGTTTTACACCTTTTAAGGAAAATGTGTTAAAATGCAAACAGCCTTTAGAAGTGAAAACACAGTATTTGTGCTAAAACAATGCAGAACGTACTTTGTAAGTGTTAGTATAATTAGAAATAACAAGTGCGGTTTAAAATAGGTGAAGATCAATGTGACATTTGAGTGACTCTTCTCATAAGATAAGGAAGTTTTTCTCAAATTAAAAATGTCTAATTAAATTAAAAATAAGCTAAAGTATCCTGGAAGACATTGGGTCAAGTGGAGTACCTCCACACATTTCTTAACAAATCCAGCAAAAAGAGCTCGTTGGTCTCCTGCTGTCCGCGTCTTTCTGCACCTTATTGTCTAATATCTGCTTTTGGTTGCTATTGTTTCGCTTGTCACACGTCAGTTTAGCTCCGACTGGGCTAATGGACCACAGGGGAATAGGACACTTCCTGGTTGAGCAGGGGTGGAAGGTTCAACTTGGTTTAAAATGAGGTGATTAATGACAGCCATCACAATCAGGGCTGGGTGATAATGAAGGGGGACAAGAGGGAGGAGCAGGAGGAGGGGGGAGGGAGGGGAGGGGATGGAGCTGAGATTGGACAAGTGAAAAGTAGAAGGAGGCAGAAGAAGATGGAAAGGGGGGGCGGACTAATTAGTCCTAAACAGGAGTTTGTGAATGAGAGGAGGAGGCAGACACACGTAGAGCCGGTAAACACAAAGAGATGGCTAGTCACAGGGCAGAGGAGGAGTGGCTGCAGAGAGTAGTTAGGCATCTGCTCCTCTGCGAAACTCCCAAACTGCTCATTCATCCAAACTCAAATATAAAATCTGTCAGTGCAAAAGCAAGATCTTCATGAGGAGAAAACACTGTCCCGTTTCTTATACAACGATCGGTGACATGAGTTCAGTTCACCAGAGGAGCAGTGTGCTCAGGAGAAGCGGCCAAACTACTGCTTTGAAGTAAAAGCTGGAGCTACAAATAAAGCACTTGACTGCCGTGATTGCATCTGATGGGTGTGCAACTAAATCACACGAGGACTCGGCCATGTTTATGTTGTCTGAGCTACATCCTTTGGTTTCACTGAAACCATATAAAAACACATTTTCATGTTTGTGTTTGTGTAATATACAGAGATATGTGTCTCGGAGTAACAACTAAAAATGTACATTTTAAAAGTGAATGCTGCTTAATCAACTGGAAATTGTGTTTAAAAACCACACAAAGAAAACCTTAAAAAGAACCAAATGCTGTGATTTCCTCTGATGAGAATGAGAAAATGAAAACCACTAGAGCAAAATGACATCAGCTCTGAGTCCTTTTATTATTTCTACTTCTTAAATGCTGAAAATTTCCATAACCTAAAACATCATTCCCTCCTTTTCCCAGTTCCTCGTCTTGTTCTTTAGTCAAATGCAAATATTATGACTTAATCGTCCTTTCAGTCTTGACAGGTAGCTTTGGGTCTGGTAGACACGCCCACCAATCCATCCATCTATCTATCTATCTATCTATCTATCTATCTATCTATCTATCTATCTATCTATCTATCTATCTATCTATCTATCTATCTATCTATCTATCTATCTATCTATCTATCTATCTATCTATCTATCTATCTATCTATCTATCTATCATCTATCTATCTATCTATCTATCTATCTATCTATCTATCTATCTATCTATCTATCTATCTATCTATGCGTGTGTGTGTGTGTGTGTGTGTGTGTGTGTGTGTGTGTGTGTGTGTGTGTGTGTAAAGGGTTACTGATGCATTCCGCAGAGCATTTCCACACACTAATGTGTTTAGTGGTATTTAAATGATACTGACACTTTTTCAAGTATTCACACATCTCGGTTATTGTTTAAGGAGTAAAATCTACTCAAACAGTGCAGAGAGATAATCAAAGGAATTAGAATAATTGGTTGTTTCAGCGCAGACCGGAGTGAAAGCCTTAGAGGAGGAGCTGTCGCTGTTTGATATATGTCATGCTACATTGAAGATGAGATTTAATTTCCCTAAATTAGCCCTTTTTCCTTGTGCATCACTCATTCCCTTGCAACTCTGTCTTCAAACCTTCTGCTCACCCTTTTTGTGATCCCACCACAGATGCCACTTGCCTGATGAAAATCAGAAGTAATATTTAAAGAAGCACTCACTGAATTGGTTAGCATCACCAGACATCAAGAAAGCCACTAATTATTTTTAAACTGATTAATACCCATTTTTTATTGTTATTTCTGATTATAATCAGTCACTCAGAGTTTTTTCATGAGGCTGAACGTGAAAAAACTCTTCTACACCTATCTTCTGCGTTAGCTTCTAAAAGAACGTTGACAGTGAAACTCTAGGATTTGAAAAGCCTGGTGGATCTACCTCACTCTGTCACGCAACATTCATGGACTCACCCATTGGCTCGTGACAGGGAAGGCTGTTGTGAAATTTAGCGTTTAGGAAACAGCAGCAAATATCTTGGCTACTAGAAACCAGACCCTTGAGATACAGAGTCCGGACACTCCCATAGGCTTCAATAGAAAGAATGGAATACGGAAGTAACGCCGGCCATGGAGCTTCAGATAGCTCCAAACGCCAATAGTTCCACCACTGAGCGTTGTTTATTCTCACTGTTTCAGAGCTTTTTTCCTCTGGTAAC